AATATCGCCCGGGCGGTTAGGAAGGTTACAATAAAAAGTATTAATTTTCAGATCATCTATAACGAGCGGTCAATAATATAATTATGCAACTTATGCTAGTATATTTCCGCCGAGCGTTGCAAGTTGCAACTTGGGGTTTTGCGGAGGTGGTAAAATAAAAAACACACTTTAGGGTCAAGATACAAAGTAGACGAGCGTAGCGATGCCAACAAATATTGTTTTAATAAAGAAAATATAGTAAAAATATCAGATAACGGAAACCCACAATATTTGCTAGGATGCCGTATGGGATGTGTGGGGGGGCGCCTGCTTTGTTGAACTTTCCGCGTATGAAATATGAAAAAACGAGATAAAAAATAAAAGATAAAAAAAATAAAAAAAATAATTGATAAGAATAATTAAAACAAATAAATGAATGATTATAACAGCAACAGCAGCTATGTGACGCATCAGAAGGGTTAAAAAATAAAACTGGTGCCAGACTTGGATTCGAACCATAGACCCCCGAACTCGGGGCGGTCGCTCTAATCAACTGAACTTCCTGGTCAGCGGTGGTCATGTGGAACTCTCTAGCGTTTTCTCTGCGGTGGGACGGGAGTCCTTAAGCAATATTTCGTCTTGTTTCTTCACCAAATGTTTGACGACTCTTTACCCTCACCAAAGTGTTTACAACAGTTGTCTCTCATAATGTCAAATTATATCATCATAGTTATTATCCTTTGCTAGCTACTCTACTCCTAGACCTTGTTGAACTGATATATGTGTAGGTGGGTAAATGACGTACATCGAAGAATTTCAATAGAATATTAATAGGATTTTAAATGTATTTACGTTTATGATTTGGTGTGTGTACTCTTTTGATCATTTTTACTGAATGATAATTATACGCAAGAATTCGTTCTGTTGAAAGTATTTACTATATTGATTCGGCCTGATTTAATATGTTTACCATGATAAATAACAGTTTCTTAGCAGTGATATGATACACAGTTTGAGATAAAATAATGATCTTTGATATTTGACATAGTCACCGGATTTCTTTCCACACAGAGCGTTTTTGATATTTTAGATGTCATCCTCGTAAAAATACTAGCCGCTTCCTACCGATTTGGCTACGACGAATGTATCGGGCTTATTAGGTAGAGCGTCAGGTAAGTAAACCACAGGTCCCAGGTTCGACCCCCTAGCAGTAGCATTGAAAAGAAAAATGACCTCTGTTACAAAAATAAAAATGAAAATAAATATATAAGTGATTTCAAAAAATTAAATGTTCCCTTTGCCATCAACAAACGTCTCTGTCTGTGTGTCTGTGTGTCTGTGTGTCTTCTGTCTGTCTGTGTGTCTGTGTGTCTGTCTGTATGTCTGTATGTGTGTCTGTGTGTCTGTCTGTGTGTCTTTGTGTCTGTGTGTCTGTGTGTCTTCTGTCTGTCTGTGTGTCTGTGTGTGTGTCTGTTTGTCTGTCTGTCTGTCTGTGTGTCTGTGTGTCTGTCTGTATGTCTGTATGTGTGTCTGTGTGTCTGTCTGTTTGTCTGTCTGTCTGTGTGTCTGTGTGTCTTCTGTCTGTCTGTGTGTCTGTGTGTGTGTCTGTCTGTCTGTCTTTCTGTCTGTGTGTCTGTGTGTCTGTCTGTATGTCTGTATGTGTGTCTGTGTGTCTGTCTGTGTGTCTTTGTGTCTGTGTGTCTGTGTGTCTTCTGTCTGTCTGTGTGTCTGTGTGTGTGTCTGTCTGTCTGTCTTTCTGTCTGTGTGTCTGTGTGTCTGTCTGTATGTCTGTATGTGTGTCTGTGTGTCTGTCTGTTTGTCTGTCTGTCTGTGTGTCTGTGTGTCTTCTGTCTGTCTGTGTGGCTGTGTGTGTGTCTGTCTGTCTGTCTGTCTGTCTGTGTGTCTGTGTGTCTGTCTGTATGTCTGTATGTGTGTCTGTGTGTCTGTCTGTGTGTCTGTGTGTCTGTGTGTCTGTGTGTCTTCTGTCTGTGTGTCTGTCTGTGTGTCTGTCTGTGTGTCTGTGTGTCTGTGTGTCTGTCTGTGTGTCTTCTGTCTGTGTGTCTGTGTGTCTTCTGTGTGTCTTCTGTGTGTCTGTGTGTCTGTGTGTCTGTGTGTCTGTGTGTCTTCTGTCTGTCAGTGTGTCTGTGTGTCTGTGTGTCTGTGTGTCTGTCTGTGTGTCTTCTGTCTGGCTGTGTGTCTGTGTGTCTTCTGTCTGTCTCTCTTTGTGTCTGTGTGTCTGTGTGTCTTCTGTCTGTCAGTGTGTCTGTGTGTCTGGGTGTCTGTGTGTCTGTCTGTGTGTCTTCTGTCTGGCTGTGTGTCTGTGTGTCTTCTGTCTGTCTCTCTTTGTGTCTGTGTGTCTGTGTGTCTTCTGTCTGTCAGTGTGTCTGTGTGTCTGGGTGTCTGTGTGTCTGTCTGTGTGTCTTCTGTCTGTTTGTGTGTCTGTGTGTCTGTGTGTCTTCTGTCTGTGTGTCTGTCTGTGTGTCTGTCGGTGTGTCTGTGTGTCTGTGTGTCTGTCTGTGTGTTTTCTGTCTGTGTGTCTGTGTGTCTTCTGTGTGTTTTCTGTGTGTCTGTGTGTCTGTGTGTCTGTGTGTTTTCTGTCTGTCAGTGTGTCTGTGTGTCTGTGTGGCTGTGTGTCTGTCTGTGTGTCTTCTGTCTGTCTCTCTGTGTGTCTGTGTGTCTGCTGGCTGTCTGTGTGTCTGTGTGTCTGTCTGTGTGTCTTCTGTCTGTTTGTGTGTCTGTGTGTCTGTGTGTCTTCTGTCTGTTTGTCTGTCTGTGTGTCTGTGTGTCTGTCTGTGTGTTTTCTGTCTGTGTGTCTGTGTGTCTTCTGTGTGTTTTCTGTGTGTCTGTGTGTCTGTGTGTCTGTGTGTCTTCTGTGTGTCTTCTGTGTGTCTGTGTGTCTGTGTGTCTTGTGTCTGTCTCTCTGTGTGTCTGTGTGTCTGTGTGTCTTCTGGCTGTCTCTCTGTGTGTCTGTGTGTCTGTGTGTCTTCTGTCTGTTTGTCTGTCTGTGTGTCTGTGTGTCTGTGTGTCTGTGTGTCTTCTGTGTGTCCGTGTGTCTGTGTGTCTTGTGTCTGTGTGTCTTCTGTCTGTCAGTGTGTCTGTGTGTCTGGGTGTCTGTGTGTCTGTCTGTGTGTCTTCTGTCTGGCTGTGTGTCTGTGTGTCTTCTGTCTGTCTCTCTTTGTGTCTGTGTGTCTGTGTGTCTTCTGTCTGTCTGTGTGTCTGTGTGTCTTCTGTCTGTCTCTCTGTGTGTCTGTGTGTCTGTGTGTCTTCTGTCTGTCTGTCTGTCTGTCTGTCTGTCTGTCTGTCTGTCTGTCTGTGTGTCTGTGTGTCTGTCTGTGTGTCTGTGTGTCTGTGTGTCTGTCTGTGTGTCTTCTGTCTGTCTGTATGTCTGTGTGTCTGTGTGTCTGTGTGTCTGTCTGTGTGTCTGTGTGTCTGTGTGTCTTCTGTCTGTCTGTCTGTCTGTGTGTCTGTGTGTCTGTCTGTGTCTCTGTCTGTGTGTCTGTGTGTCTGTGTGTCTGTCTGTCTGTCTGTCTGTCTGTCTGTCTGTCTGTCTGTCTTTTCCTCTGCTCACCTCTCTATATGTCTCTCTCCCCTTTCACTTCCGTCTCATTTCCTCTCTCTCTCCTTTCTGTCACGTATCCCCTTTTACTCGCTGTCTTTCTCACAAACTCCCTCCACCCCTAGTGTGCGTGCCGTGTTCACAGTGTATAGATGTACACAATGTCTTAGATTTGATCTATATATCTACTATGGGGGAGGAATATTGAATAATAGCACGAACTTAGAAACTCGACACAAAGTGATATTTGTATAAATATTGACACTTGAAAAGTCAAATACACCTATTACGTTAACACATTGGTGGGGTCGGATTTGAAACCTTTTAAATCACAAACTAGAATTGGCGTCTCCTTGAGACTTACTTATTTTGGCAAATAAAAACAAATGTAATCCTATTAGTTTACGGGAATGTATATGTGTATTTCACTGAAAGGGAAATCATTCATATGATACACATACATTTCAGAACTTTAAATTTACTTCTGTCAATGTCATGATACTGTACTACAAAAAAAAAATGCCTTCCGTTCCGGTGTGCTGACGGAACTAAGTATTAGTACCTTCCCCTCTAGGAACTAATCGCATTTATTCGGTATCATGACGGAACAAATGTCTCCCTTCCCGGTCTCATGACGGAACTAAATGCCTCCCTTCCCGGTCTCATGACGGAACTAAATGCCTCCCTTCCCGGTCTCATGACGGAACTAAATGCCTCCCTTCCCGGTCTCATGACGGAACTAAATGCCTCCCTTCCCGGTCTCATGACGGAACTAAATGCCTCCCTTCCCGGTCTCATGACGGAACTAAATGCCTCTCTCCCGGTCTCATGACGGAACTCAATGTTTCCCTTCCCGGTCTCATGACGGAACTAAATGCCTCCCTTCCCGATCTCATGACGGAACTAAATGCCTCCCTTCCCGGTCTCATGACGGAACTAAATGCCTACCTTCCCGGTCTCATGACGGAACTAAATGCCTGCCTTCCCTGTATCATGACGGAACTAAATGCCTCCCTTCCCGGTCTCATGACGGAACTAAATGCCTGCCTTCCCGGTATCATGACGGAACTAAATGCCTCCCTTCCCGGTCTCATGACGGAACTAAATGCCTCCCTTCCCGGTCTCATGACGGAACTAAATGCCTCCCTTCCCGGTCTCATGACGGAACTAAATGCCTCCCTTCCCGGTCTCATGACGGAACTAAATGCCTCCCTTCCCGGTCTCATGACGGAACTAAATGCCTCCCTTCCCGGTCTCATGACGGAACTAAATGCCTCCCTTCCCGGTCTCATGACGGAACTCAATGTCTCCCTTTCCGGTCTCATGACGGAACTAAATGCCTCCCTTCCCTGTCTCATGACGGAACTAAATGCCTCCCTTTCCGGTCTCATGACGGAACTAAATGCCTACCTTCCCGGTCTCATGACGGAACAAAATGTCCCACTGATGTTCGAACTAAATGCCTCCCTTCCCGGTATTATGACGGGACAAAATCCCCCCACTGATGTTTGAACTGTGTACCTCCCTTAAATATGTCATGTTGAAACTAAATGGCTGCCTTCTTGATATCATCACGAAACTAAATGCCTCCTTCCCTCCCTTTCCAATGTCATGAAGGGGTTAAATGCCAAGTTTATGAACTTTTGCATAATAGGCTCAATCACGTATATATCTAATAAATAAAAATTTAGTGTTTATTTTTACATTTTCATTGGAAATCTTACCAAAACAAATTGTGTTCATAGGGCTATGCATGCAATTGGATCAGCGTCATTTTAATGTTTCTTCTTCCGCCTCAAATAACATGAGACAGTCGTTAGAAGCAAACATTTTGGCGACGTTAGACTGTTTCAGGAATTTCCTTTTCACTGACGACACCGACATTTCATTATCGATCGAAAATATAAGGGAATACCTATATTTAGACCAATAATAACTATCAAACTTTAGAAGAGAAATGTCGTATAGAACATCGTTTTTTTCAATGTTCATGTCGGTATAAACGCGAATCGGTTACATACATATTTGGATGTATGCCGGTTTCATGGTAATATGAATGTAACATATTCGTGTTCATACCCACATGAACATTGAAAACATGCCGTTCAATCCTTATTTTATGACATACTGATCTTTGATGTTGTTAAAACAGTACAAATCATATTTTTAGATGGTTTTGATGACGCATTTGTTGGGTTGGAATGAGATGGGTTCGGATTCACAATACCACGCGCCAGAATAACTTAGGTAGGGGCCGGGATTTCCTAGGGGTTAGGTTGGTATAGGCGGGTAAGGAGATCTAGAGTGGAACAAGTTCATGTAGGATAATTTTTTTGTGACCCACGTTCAGTGTGTACACCTAGACAACGTAACCGTTAAAAAGTAACAGTCATGTTATATACTTAACCATGTCATTACATGTAAAAATAATATGGACATTTTGTGCAAAGGAACAAACTAATTTGGACAATTTTGAATGTTATAGTTGGAGAAGGAATATATTTAAACAACATGGACGTACCTGTATGGCCAGAGAGGTCCTACGTTTTCTTGCGTCCATTCTGGTCGTTGTATTGACAGGTAAGATTCGTAATGACGTACCTAACACAGGTAGATATACGAGTACAGGTAAGTACAACTACGTATATATCCACAGGTAAGACTTCATAGCGGTGATTTAAGGGCCCTTGGCGAGAGATAATACCACTCCATTGTATACAATTTGTTCATTTAAACTTAAAATCGCTTTCACGTTAATAATGACATAAAATAATACAAGTGAATAGCCTGGCACTTGAAACCGTACACTTGAAATTTGGACACCGGGCTGACCCCTCCCCTTGAAACCTGTGCTGTACGACCGACGCATTGCCACATAGTGTTCTACAAACATCAGAAATACTGGCAGAAGCAGATGGATCTATATTCGGGCAACAATTCGTGGATATATCGAACATTTCTAATAGCATGTATCAGAATGGGCCTTTGACAATCGATCTACTCCACACGTACTCCCGTACGCTACGGTCAAGCGATCGGTTTATCAACTCCCGTTCACAGGTGCTTTACCTATGCGTACATCAGTCGTCCTCACCATACGGGATACCCGGGGTATCGACTTCACCACTCCCACCCCACCCCGACACCCGTTCACTCTACCGGCGCCTATCTCGGCCACCAGCCATATCACCATGCAAACAGGCCAACATTCAAATTTTGAATAGCAGAATTGAACAAGTTAACAATGTACTTACATGAAAATTACAAAAACTCGACATGCTTGACGAGTTAAAAACTAAATTTGAAGTGTTTGAACAACTAAACGAAAATCTAAAACAAGAGATCACCAATACAGCACACGGCTCAGAAACATTCCGGCATTATTAACAAACAGGAAGAACATCGCTTCAATATTGGACAGAGACTTCAAAGTCTCGAACGGAGAAATTTAGAGCTGACGAGGGAGAATCACGATCTACATGAAAGTTTCCTTAAATTGCAAACATATTCTATGAAATATAATTTGATTTTTACCGGGATTCCTATTTTCTTTGTTCCTAAACGATTAAGAAACGTTTTTTAAGTCCCTTGATTGTGTTCCGCTAGAAATGGTGAAAGAAAAAATATCTGATGAGCTGCATATTTTAATTGAAATTTTTGTCTTGCTATATGCAGACGATACACTTTTTTTACGGAAACTCAAGAAGGATTACAAAATGTATTGAAGATTTTTCAAGAATATTGCGATATATGGAAATTGAAAGTACATTGTAAATACTGATAAAACTAAAATTATGATATTCTGCAAGCGGAAAAGTAACCAAAATCATGTCTTCTTTCTCGGAGACGTAATACTTGAGATTGTTGATTGTTTCACATACTGAGGTATTATATTTAACTATAATGGAAATTTCGCTAAAGCGCGAAAAAAACTGATTGATCAAGCTCAAAAATTATTTGAAAACGCTAGAGCAGACGCATCTAAAATTCCGTAAGAGAATTTTAAAAATCAGATCTAGTACTCCTACTTTTATGGTATATGGAGAAATTGGTCGGTTCCCAATGGAAATAAATATCAAACTTAGAATGGCACGTTTCTTGAATAATTTGATCGATACGCGTAATGAAAGTAAACTCAGCAGTATATAGTTGAGATTGGCACTTAATTCACACGACACTGAATCATATTCTTTTAAATGGATTAGTAAAGTTTAAAGAATTTTTGATGAATCTGGTTTTTCATACATTTTTGAAAATAAGATATGCATAAATAATTTGTTCTTTAAAAATCAACTTAAACTAAGACTTCGAGATCAATTCATACAAAATTGGTTTTCCGAAGTTCATAATTCGTCGAGAGGAGAATTCTACTCAATGTTCAAGTGTGAATTCAGTTTTGAAAAATATTTGATAAAATTGTCAGAAAATAATAGACAACCTACAGTTGTATTACCAAACTGCGTACGTGTAAGTTGAAATTTCCCATTGAAACTGAGAGATGGCAGAATATTCAAAAAGTAGATAGGATATGTAATCTTTACCTTGAAAGTATTGGAAATGAATTTCATTTTCTTTTTACTTGTAGTAATGTGGAAGTGAAAAATTTACAGAGAAAATACGTTCCAAATTACTATCGTACAAATCCGAATGAAAGTGAAATGAAAGGGTTTTGTCAATATGCCACAAACAAATTCTGAAAGGATTATCATTTTTTCTTAAGAAATTGAATCCTTTACTTTAAGCTAAAACATGAACATTATACATAAACTTGTGTTTCTAAAGGTCCATAATATTGAAGTAATTATGGTCCATATTATTGATATGTACAAATCAATATGTAAAATAGGTGACTATGTGAGTAATTTGGATACGGAAATGTATACCTATGTGCGTGTGTGTGTATATGTATCTGGGAGGTAGTCATATGTTTGTGTATTTATGTGTGTATGCGCGTATATATGTATGCGTCTGTTTGGTGGTATGCATTGTATGTGTATGGATGTGCATATATATATGTATGTACATTTTATATATATGAGGATGGGTGTATGTATGTTTTGGTGTGTGCATGCGTATGTACACACGCTATGTATATGCAAAGGTCTGGATATATGTGTGGCTATTTACATATATGTATGCATTGCTGTGTCTAATTACGAAATAGTTATTATTTGTTTATCAGTATCTTCATATACATGTATGCACCTGTCCATCCTGTCATAATTTAATATATGAATTCATGTACATGTACCTCATGTTACACATTTTCATGTGTCTGAGTGTTGGAAATAAAATCTGAAATCTGAAATCATGTTTGTAAAAATAATATCCTAAATCAAATGATTAGAGGGGTATCTACTAAAGATACAGCAATATTGTAACTATAGTGAGAGTGTAGATACTCAAAGTTACAGTAATATTGTAAAGTTACTGTAATATTGTAAATATAATGAGAGGGTAGGTACATGTACCTAAAGTTACAGTTATATTGTAAATATGTTGGAAGGGTAGATACCTAACGTTACAGTAAAACTGTAACTATAGTGAGAGTGTAAATAAGTAAAGTGACAGTAATATTGTAAATATGTTGCTATGTTACATGTCAATACGTTAAGTGACAGTTATATTGTAAATATGTTGAGAATGAAGGTATCAAAAGTTACAGTAATGTTGCAATATGTTGGTAGGGTAAATATCTAAAGTTACAGTTATATTTAAAATATAATTAGAGGGTAGATACGTAAAGTAACAGTGATACTGTAATTATAATGATAGGGTAGGTACCCAAAGTAACAAACAAAAACAGTGTTACATTTTTATTTTTTTTAGCGTAGCCAGACCAGGATTCGAACCCTGAACCTCAGATCATTACACTGTCGCGCTAACCGATGTGGATACATGCTGTAGTTAACAGTAAAAATCAACTGATTGCATTTATAAAACGAAATCAAGGGGCGTTTACAGTGTTTGGTATTTTGCCGACAGTTGGTTAAAGACTTTCACAACTGTATCACAGTATCAGCTTGCTCAACCAGTACATTTGTCATTGCATAAAAAGTGTTCGGTCTCTTGACGGTTCCTCGTGGATGGGTAATTGACATGACTTACCAACAGCTGTCTGAAAAATATGCGGAAATATGATTGAATATATATATATATATGAAATTGAATTTGTAAATTACTGTAAACACAGCTCAAGATAAGCTATGACAAGTAATTGTTTTACAGATATGCTTCAACCCGCTCGTGCCAATAAAAAAATAATGGTATCTTGTTGTAAAAATCAGTTAATTCAGATATAAGTATGCAGAAGATATCTTTTAAAATGTAATAAACGGCAGTGTCACTGCGTGAGTCCTCGAACAAAAAATACACAATATAAGTAATGGAGTGAGATTGATAACTCGTTAACATATTATTACCGCAATTGTAGGGAAATCTATCAAGTTCTAAGAAAAATGACATTTCCCACTAAAATGCTTTTTTTTTTTTTTTTTACTAAGGGGCTGTAAAGTTACAGTAATATTGTATATATAATATTATTTTTATTCAATCGAGACCAGTCCGCACTGTATGAGTCAAATGACACGATATTCACCAAAGGATTTTAAACGGATCTTCAGAAAGAAGAAAAATCAAAGAAAAACTGAACTTTGACAAACTGTGGGCGAGTTACCTCCCTTACGAAATGATGGATCCTCAGCAGGATGCGCAACACAAAAACACAGCTTGCACAACAAGAATACAAAGAGAAGTTTCGCCTTGGTCGTAGTCATCAAAAGAAAGGGCGATAACTCGTGTGGCCTTGTCAACCTACAGATGAAACTGACAATTTCAGCACATTCCCGTCTGGTATATCAATACCACACTCATACAAGTCAATAGTTAAAACATCAACCTATAAATAGAGAAAAAAATACTGAAATTATGCTGGTAACAAAACTACGTTCAAGTGTTTTAAAAATCAATTCAGTAACATATTTAATTAGAAAACGTCCGACTAAAGTAATGATCGCCCCTTAAAAACTGTCAAAAGGTGGAACCAGTCTAGGTAAGGCATCAGTACAAACATCCAATTGAATGGACGAGTAAAGTTGGCAGCTTTGCCGTTCTTGATTTCAACACGCATTTCTGTTGTACGTGCCCTCCCATCTCCACTTGGAAGAACTTGTGTGACGTCACATACCGCAAGCAGTTCCTTGCTACTTGTTCGTCCCATAGAAGAACCACACCACCAGAGTGGCGACTCCTCCACACACTGTCCTGCTGTCGAATTACGACGACTCTGTAAAATCTGAAGAAACTCCGATTTCCGACCTCTATATCAACATTTCATCTCAAATCGGAACTCTCACTGCGCCTGGTACACCCGCTTTTCAGTAAAAAAACAGAGTTGCTCAGTGGGTATTGGTTCTCGAATCCGAGGACACTGTTACAAATATACATTTGTAAGTGGGTTTTTTATTGCAGAGATAACGTTAGAAAATTGGTCAACACGGCATTTGTCAGCACAGGGACTTCCTTTAACAGAGAATCTAAGACCCTCCTTGTCACACGTACCAACCGCTCCCATATGCATGTTCATCACATGAGAGAGGCGTGTGGAAAGTTGAAGATGAATGTAGTACCGTCACAGAAACGGTTTAAATCGTGATTCAAGTGAGATGGAACACGCCTAGTCGTCTGAATTTCCATGGTCGACACGTAATCACATGGGTAAGGCATCGTAAACTTTAGAATTATGTTGATGCGATTATCAACGAGAACAAGATATCGTCAATAAC